GTCCCGGCGGTGGTGGTCCGGGCCGACCACCAGCCAACGGCCAGGGCCGCCCTGGCCCCGGTGCGCGCAGCTACCACGATCGCTTTGCGTAGTCTTTCTCTGTGGCTAGCCGACGGAATGACACGGTGGTATTGTTCTTTGACTTGCCTGAGATGGTTGGCTCTGGCCCTTGAGCGCTGAAGGTTGTGCTTTGTCTTGGGGCCGAACGGAGTGGGGGCAAGGAGGCGGTGGAGTGCTTTGTCTAGCGAGACTGCAGGGGATGGGAAGGTGTGTGAGGCAAGCGAGGGTGTGTGGTTTTTGGTGGTGTTGGATTTTGTCGTACGGGAGAAGTTGGGGTCGTGTTGGTTGAGGCGCGCGCCGCGTTGGGGAATTTTGAGCTGGCGGGACGCGTGGGATCATGCAGGTGTTGTTCTCTGCCACATTTCACCGCCATCATCAGCGTCACTACCACCACGACGACTTTCTTGAGGCGGTACCACCACGCTCGCGGGGTTCTTTTATTTGTGCACCCACGGGCTTGAACACGAGCACGCCACTTTTTCGCCTCCTTTCCCCGCCTCAAGGCCGATTCAGGGCTTGGCATTTGGCAGGTTCAGAGCCGGATCTCCGTACGGCTGGATCTGCATCCACGTTTGAAGCGCACACCGCTCTTTCACACCTCTTTGTCGGTATTGCATCGCTTGCAAGTCGATTCACGATGGAGGCACACGAGGAGGTAGAAGCTGGTTTTTTTGAGCGCGAACGCGATCGACTCATCCAAGACATCTCCAAAGTACGTCCGCTCCTCTCCCCTTGTACGCTTCTTTTGCTTCTTTCTACCTTTTTCCCGTGCACGAAAACTGACGATCTTTGCGGGTTGTAGGGAGTTGAGACGGTGTTGGGCAACGTGAACGGCGTGAATCGCAAGTTGGAAGAGACGGTTTCGGTTGGAGACGAGTTCCATCCGATCGCCCATTTGTGGTCGCGCTTCGCCGGCATCATGGCTGCCTCTGGAATCCCGGATCTGCACCCCAGCTATGGCGACAAGAAGGAAGACCAGGGTGAGATTCGGTTGGATAGCGATCCCAATTTGCCCCCCGGCGTCGCTCCTGGTGGCGGAAGGATCTACAACTAGCTGTATATACCCCGAGAATCCATCCTGCCACGTACAGATTGCGTTGCCATAGGCAGAGGATGAGAAGCGACATGTGTCGCGGTGCGCAGCTACGATGGATCAAGACGAGCAATCGAGCCGCAAAGGTCTTGCGCTGGATCGGCAGCCGCTTGACAGGGCAGTTATGACTGCACCGAGAGATTGCCTGACTGCATTCGAGAGGTGCAGCTGATGTCAATGGAGCGGGGTACCAGTGCAACCGCATCGCCCAGCCTGCTCTTTTCCAGCGCTCTTTGCAGTCAAAGACTCCAAGCAGGCATGCAACCGCCCGACCATCTTGTGCATCGCACTTGTCGATGCTTGCACCATCACGTTTCAAACGCCTCGTCGACGTTTGGAAACGCTGTGCTGAATGCCGGTGGCTGCGGTCTTGAAGGTTCCGCTGTCCTATGAATCAGCCCCCAACGCACACGCACGGCCAGGCTTTGCACTTTGACCATCCCACGCACCAAATCCAAAGTCGATCCACCCTACCATCATGCTTCGAACCTGGCATTGCTTCATCGGCACACACAGCCGCACACGTGCTCCTGGTTCATGATGGCTGCACAACATGTGAGAGCCCGCTTCGATGGGTTGACAGTCCCCCTCCGCCTCTGCCTCTCCCTCGCGCGGTCAGACGCTCCCACACCGCCCATCCCGCCAGCAAGCGTGGCATGGCATTGCATCGTTGCGAGTACTGCTGCTCGCACACGAATCCACCGCTCGAATCGCCGGCTCAAGACACTTTGCATCGACCACCCTTGCATGCTCACCAACACCGCACACAAGTGGCCATTGACTTTGCACTGTCGCGGCTCGAAACTCGTCGCGAGCTTCCCTTTCACTCCACCAAGCAGCAGCCGAATGCACTGCATTGTCGCAATCGCAGCTGGCATCGCATCGCACTGCATTGCAATGTTGCAGATGTCACCAGACGACACACCACCTCTTGGATCCATCCATGGCGAGAATGAGCGAGAGTGAGGCTGCATCGCATGTGTTGACCTCCGCTGCAACTTAATCGCAGCGCCATCCGCGCAGCAGGGGTGACTCTGCAATGCACTGCTGTTGCTGACGTGGATGCACGGCACGCCACCGCGGTTGAATCGTGCATCGTCGTGCCCTCGGCCTCTTCAACCACGATGCACGCCACCAAACGCGGCCAACTGCACGCCCTTTGCCTTTCCCTTCTTCTTCTTGCCTGCTCCCTCCTGACTCTCGACCAGTGCCTCGCTGAGCCCGTCTAAGCTGCCAAGGCCCTGACCGTCATCGATCCTACCCGGCTGTGGGATCCAGGGGGTATTCGAACCCGAGCCTGACCCACGGGGGGTTGCACCGCCACTTGCGCCGGGAGACCTGTTGAAGAGCGACTTTTTCTGCTCGTTGATCGCCTTTTTCGCCGCATTCGTCGGCAGACTCGGGAACGCCGATGCACTCACGGCTGCTCGCGTCGGACCGCCCGAATGCACTCGCGCCACATACGGCTTTGCGGCGGGAGCAACCACGACGGGCGAGGCTGCACTCCACTTTGCACTGGGCGCCGCAGCGCGCGTAGCAGCACTGTGCGCCACTGCGTGCGCCAGTGACCCAGGCACACTCGTCGAGCGAGCCGAACCACTGCCCAGGCTCGGAAAGTGCTCGCGCAGTGCAACCGGTCTGCCGGCCCCGTGACCAGAAGACGCAGAAGCGGCCCGCTCGACGTTGTCCCACACGGCCGAGGTTGCGGCCGAGGATTTCTTGATGTTCTTCAGCGCACGCCCTGCACCTGCATAGCCCGACCCCAACGCCACCCCTGCACCCACCCCACCCGAGGGCGTGAGCGAGGGAAACTGCGTGCGTTCGATTCGGTATCCCGCCCACGCATCGCTGAGCGCCTTGCTCTTGTCGCGGTCGTCGAGCAGGTCGACGAGACCGTTGACGAGGGGTGCGCAGTCGTCCATCTCCTGCACGAGCGAGTGCAGTGTGCTGATCAGATCGCGCGCAGAGGACTCGCCGCTCTTGAACGCACGTACGCAGGCGCGGAATGAGGCGATGCGCGCCTCGGACCCTCCGAGCACCCGCGACGCCTTGTCCATATACGCCTGGTGACGCTCTTCGATGCTCCGCTCGTCCGTGACCGTGCGCACCCGATCCGCAGCAACACCTTGAGGTGCTGGGGTGGTGAGGCCCGATCCAAACATGGCGCGGCGCGATGCGTGGTTCGCCGGCCCCGCGCCGGGGACATGCGCACGCGATGCCAGCGACGACACACCCAACACATCGCGATTCTCGGACGCCGATGCACCCGCATCCGTCCCCTCCGCACGCCCTTTCCCCTTCCGCCCCGCACCCGATCGACCCGCTCCGCCCTGACGAGCCTCGCTGCTGCTGTCGTCGTACGAAAAGTTGGCCTCGATCCGAAGCGCCTCCCTGCGCTCGCGGCTCGACAGCTCGTTGCCGTGCTCCTGCACCTGGTGCGCCTTGAAGTCCACCTCGCTCTCAAACACGATGAACTTCTTCTCGAGACACTCGGCGTTCTCGCAGAGCCAGTGGTCGTTGCGGAAGTGGCGCTCGAGCATGTTGTAGTCGCGGTAGTACTTCCAGCGTTCCTCTGCGGTGCCGCTCGCCTTGCAGATGTGGCACTGTTCGTGGCGGTCGCGCATGTGTGCAAACAGCTCGTCGTCACCGTAGAAAAGCGTACGATCGTACTCGCACAGCTTGTGCTCCTGCTTTTCGTGCGCCGCGAGCGACTGCGCCGTGTGCAGCGTGTGCTCGTGCGCAAAGATCTTTTTGTTGGTGATGCACAGCTGGCACACCAGCCGGTCGTGCTCGCGACGCACGTGTGCCTTGAAGTCCCGCCATCCCGTACACGCCACCTCGCAGTTTGGGTCCGGACAGTTGTACCGAAGCAGCAGCACCGTCTCCTCGAGCGCCTCCTTCGACTCGAAACTGATCGGCAGCTTGCGGTCCGAGTAAGGAATGTCCGTCGGCTGGAAGTCTTCAAAGTTCTTGGTCGGCGACGAGGTGAAGATGAGACGGTCGATCTTGGCTTTGCAAAAGGTGCACTGGTCCTTCTTGTACAGCACCAGCAGACGCAGCGCGCAGATGTGGCATGTGCGGTGGTCGCACGGCGCCAGCGACGTGAGCTTGACTGGGTCGGCGCAGATGAAGCACACGTCGACGTCCGGAGGCAGCTCGCCCTCGTCGTCGTCGTCGTCGGTGGTGGTGGTGGTGGTGATCGTATTGTCTGCGCTGGCAGCCGCTGGTTGCGGCGCAGCGGTCGGTGCGGCGCTGTTGCTGCCTTGTGCTGCCTGGTTTGCCTTGGTTCGGGGTTGCCTGGAGTTGTTGGGGCGCGAACGATTGCTGCTGCTGTTGCTGTTGCCGTTGCCGTTGGCGGGAGCAGCATTCGCATCGGCAGCGGTGAGCGAACCGCCAAAGTTGGCGCGACGACCGCCTCTTGAAGAGTTGGACGACGAGCCTCCTCCTCTTCGCCCCGAGGATGTTGCTCCGCCACGCCGTGTGGGGGGTATGCTTTCTTGCGCCGTGCTCATTGCTGCGGTAGTGCGAGTGTGTTTGTAGAAGGAGACAAAGGATCGCGCGTTGGAAGAACGAGGGAGTGTGTGGAGCGGCAAACTGTGTCGTGCGCAGAGCGAGCCGAAGCAACACCGCTGCTGAGCCACTTTGCGCTTGCGCTGCCTGGAGGCGAAGCCAATGACGAAAGAGAAGCGCCCTGCGCAGACCAGCGTAACTTTGCTGAGTCGCAGCTGCAGCGGCAGCGGCAGCGTTACGCACCAGAACGTGGAAAGGCTGAGTCTAAAGTCGTGCCTTCGATCTGACAGTTCCCGATGTTCTTGGCAACGAAGCTGATCGGGGATAACGGTCGCCGAATGGCCACCTGCAGTCGATCGTCGCGAGCATTTCTGGCTGGGCGGCGGTGGCGCGACGTGAAGGCGAGAGAGCGCCAGGGCAAGACCGACTCGCGCGAAAACTTTTTTTCGTCAGCCACAGAGCCACGAGCCACGACCAACGGGCTCAGTCGGCGCTGCGCTCCCCAAATTTAGAGCCACGACCTCGAGGGAGAGAAGTTCGAAAAATCGATTTCTTCTTGCCGTCTCGGCTGTCGCCCCCGTTCTTCCGCGCTGAGGCTCGGCGCAGAGACAGACAGAGAGAGAGAAAGAGAGAGAGAGAGAGAG